TTGGTCAAATATGTAACGCTTATCTTCCACCTTTCTTTCAAACTTTGTTATAGTTTTAGAGCTACAGTTAAAAATAGCGTTACAATCTTTTTGCTTGTTTTCAAGGCATCTTTTTGCTGCTTAACACTCCTCCAGTGATTTCATTATGAAGGTCTCATGGCTATCTAATTCCCTGAATTCTTTCATATTCCTATAGCTTTAATACTTGAATTACATTTAGTTAGCTATGAAAACCTTGGCCCACATTCTCTTTCCTTAGGTATCTAAATGCTACTCTACTCTTGTCTAATGTTAACCTGATTTTCTTTCTCTTTTAATAGCTGCCTTTTCCCTCAACATCCAGAACATTTCTTTATCTTTCAAGCTTAACATTTTTCTAAAATAAGCCACAGAATTGACTGTTCATGAATGATTCTTCCAGGTAGGTCCTTTCAACGTGTAGATTTGAAAATTTTTTTTATTACAGGAAACTTAATCTGATTTACAATTTTAAATATTAGTTCTATTTCATTGCCTTTTCTTCTCCAGAAACTGCAATTATATATACATATATATATATATACACACACACACATATATATATACATATATATAATATTTTTGTCTGTTTCCTATAACTATGTCCTACTCTGATCCACTTTACCTTTTTTAAAAGTGTCTGCAATTTTTTTGGGGGGGTGATATTTCCAATTCTACCCTCTAATCCCTTTCCCATACTTTCAGTCATTTATTCTCTGTTGGGTACCTTGTTATTTGGTCTTTACTTTCAAGAAAAATTTTCTTTTTTTTCAATATCTCTCCTTAGTTTTCATCAATTCCAATTTAACATCTTCCTATTATTTATCTGTTTTTACCCTGAGTTTTTTAGTTTATAATTTTGATGTCTCTTTATATCTTCAGTTGTTTCTTTATTTTAAGTTTGTGTTAATGTTATGTTTTTCAAACTGAGCAGAACCCAGATAGTTCCCCCAAGTACAAAGGCCCTTCCATGTCCCCTGCCTCTTGTTTGTAGAAAAGCTGAACTCTCCCAGGCCTCCCTGAGTCACAAAAGAACAAGTTCAAGCAGTTAATGATTAAGGAATAGAGTCACAGAATCTTTCAGTGTCCGGTACACATTCCTGAGTTGTTTTACAGATAACTATGACTGCCACCAGAGGGAAAAAGCTAACTTCATGATGACCAGAATGTACCCATGACATAGGCTGGCCTATGTCAGCCATCTATGGCTAGCACAATTCCAAGAACTGGCCTCAGGAGAATGGGATTAACATTGTTGCTCATAATAATCTATATCTTTGAGGGTATCAAAATAATTATGACTTGCTCTGCCTGCATATGTAAGCAGGCAATTAAAACTTTCAGCAAAGAGATGCTACAGACCCATGTCAACATCTTCCACTCTAAGAATATGGTGCCATATGTCAACATGAAGAAGTTACAGAACATGGACCTTCACCCCTAATCCCAGAGAAATAGAATGATGTCTGACAGTGGGGATTTGTAAGAAGCTCCTTTGCCCCTTTCCTGTTGCCTGCTTCTGTTCCTCTCAAACCTTATAGAAATGAGATCACTCGGCAACATTTAACTTAACTCCTGACTTATGCCCTAATGAATGCACATAATACCTTGCCTAACCTGTTGATTCTTTCCCTAGATTAAAAGCAGTAGGAATGAGGGCTTCCCTGGTGGCGCAGTGGTTGAGAGTCCGCCTGCCGATGCAGGGGACATGGGTTCGTGCCCTGGTCAGGGAAGATCCTACATGCTGCAGAGCGGCTGGGCCCATGAGCCTGTGCGTCCGGAGCCTGTGCTCTGCAACAGGAGAGGCCACAAGAGTGAGAGGACCACGTACCACAAAAAAAAAAAAAAAAAGCAGTAGGAATGAAGAATTCTGTAGTTAAAGAGTGACTAGCTTTCTACCCCCAGACTCCCCCTTAGCAATTCTGCAGGCAGACAATGCAAGCAAGAAAACATCTGAAGAAAGATCATGAGGAGTCAGGCATTCTGCATGCAATGGAGAATGATACAGAACCTAACATTTTGCCTCAATGATTCACTGATTCTTTCCCTGTTTTCCCTTTAAAAACTGTCATGGCCAAGTAGAATCTTTGGAATTGGTTCTGGGACATGAGTCCACCTTCTCCTCAGATTGCTGGACTTGTGATTAAAACAACTTTTCCTTTCTACCAACACTTGCCTCTCAATATTGGCTTTCAAGCAGTGAACAGCCAAACCTGAATTTGGTAACATTTTAGTGTTCCTCTGCTTTATGACTAGATTTTTAGAATTTGCTTGCTATTGCTGAAAATTTCTGAAAATGTATACAAAAGAATAGTTTAAAATAGATATTGGAATTTAATTTTTTTCATGCCTTTTTATTTTTGCATTGTGTTTTCCTAAAACAGCAATAGCAGGAGATCCTATGCAGTGAGGGCACAGAGGCTTCTGTGAGGTTCATCAGATTTCTAAGATCAAGGGCTTCCTCTTGTTACATTGAAGGGAAGATTCTTTTATAAGTGGAGCTTTTCCTTTTTCTGTCTTCTAATTTTTAATTATTATACTGTTTTCTTGAGACCCTGAGCATTTTTTTTTTCTTTTTCCATTGACATTCATTCTCCAAGGATTCCTTCACCTTCCAATATGCCTCCTTCCCCTTTACAAGCAGTTACATGCCTTCCCAAGACTGCCAGTTCTCATTCCATGAACTCTCCAATCCTTTCTTTCAAACTCGCATTCACAAATGCTCTGACTTGCCAGATCCCAGATCTCTCAGTATTCTCTAATCAAGGTGAGGACCTTTCCTTTTGGAGGTGAACCCAGTTGATGCTACCTACATTCTACCACTATTAAAGACCTCTCTATACTTCCCTCTGTTCTGATGCTCTGACCTGAATCTTGATTCCTCTATGAGCCCCAGAGCGCTCTTTTCCAGTCTTGAGATTTTAGTCTTCTCTAAATATTCTAGATATGGGCTCTGTGTTGATATTTCTGGTTGGTGAAAGGAGGTATGTGTAGCTTCTAATGTATGCAGCCACCATTTTCCTCTTTTTTAAAAAAATTTTTTTCACAGGTTCCTTGAGTTTAAGTGCTACTCAATCCTAAGAGCATCAGTGCACATTAAGGATCAGATCCTTAGTCCAGATCAGACACTGATGAGGGAGGTGTGGTGGAACTGTTAAAAAATCAGGTCCAAACTTGCCTGATTTCCCGGGACTTGTGGCTCCAGTGCCTGGTTCCCCACGGGTGTTGCCACCTCCAGCTCTGGGGATTGCTCCAGGCAATACCCTAGGCAAGGCTTAATTTTATAATGGGAGAAAAAAGCTAGCTAATTAAAATATAAAATTGATCATTTTATGAAGATGGCCTGTGTAAGAACAAATAAAAATTTTGAATAAGAGGCTTAATTCTCTCTATTGAAAATAAGGGAAGAGACTTCCCCTTTCCTTTTCTTAGAGTATTTACTTTAGAATATCTGTAAATGCAAGTTCTTTTAAGTGTCTTTGAAATGTATGTAAATCTTTCAAAAAAACTAAATAAGCCTCTTGTCAGCTTAATGACCCAGAAATGTCTTTCTCAAGGGCTTGAGCACTATCTCTTTGAAATGTAAACATCTAAGAAGACAGTGGTTCTTCCCCCTCCAGATACAAAACTTCCTCCTATCATCAAGATAGAAGTTTTATTTTTCTGTATAAAACCAGTTATTAAATAACCAGATGGTCACCCAATTGCCAGGTGAATTTAGAATGAACTATATGTAATAAATGGTGCTGTCAAGTTCTCTTACTTACGGACTATTTTTCTGGAGAACATGCATGTAGCAGATTGTATTGGCTTGGTGAGATTTCTTTCTGTCTTTATAGATCTTTAGTGAATTGGCTATAATTTGCATCACATTCTGGTTTAATGCTTATTCAATAATAAAACTGTTTTCTTTGTCTTCTACCTTTGTGGACAGGGTCTCTGGGTTGGGAGATTTTGTTTTCAATTCTATTTCCCCAACACCTGAAATATGATTGCTGTTTATTCCTCTGAAATTGAATACATCCCTAAAATTTCACTCAGTTTACTTATGTTTTGAGTGTATTTGCTCAAGTTAAAGTGTATAGTTATAGACAAAGAATGTCTCCTGCCATTCCAGTAAACAAAGAATGTTGCCTGCCATCACACCATCAGCTACTGCGGCCTCCCCCACCAACAGTGCGCCCTCAGGGGAATTCAAGATGGAGAAAAAGAGGATACTGGCCCTACATAGTTAAGATGAACACCTAAGGAATAATTTCAATGAGCCTAGACTCTTGTATCTTCCCATACACAGAAAAGCACTAAAATCATTAACTTGAGATGTCTGATTTTTTTATGATTAGCTGTAATCTTTTGATGTAAGACTACATGTATTGTATTCAGCAAAAATCCTATATATCTTGGCTCCTCCCTTACCTCTTCGGAACAGTTCCTCAGAGCTATCTGAGAGGCTGTATCATGGGCTATAGTCCTCAATAAGGTCCCTAAATAAAACATAACTCACAACTTTTAGGTTGTGTGCTTTTCTTCAGTCAACACAGTCATAGTGTACTGATCATAATGTCATATTCTTTTCAAAATAGAATAATTCTTTTGCCTTTAACCCCAACAAATCAGTTCTCTTACTAGAAGGTCCTCTTGAGTTCCCACTTCAACAATTGTCACTGAACATTTCCTCGATTTAGATTATCTTCTATTGGACATGGTTTTTGCCTTTGTGTGTATATAAATATTCATTTCTCCTGATCAAAAATCAAGTTCTAAGAGAATAAGTATCTTACTCTTCTCCTCTCCTACTTTCTCTAGGGCACCCAGTGTGATGTGGGCACACATCAATAAATAACTCTTGATTTATTTCTGATCTTCATCAGTTTTGACATCACACAAATAATAATAATTAAATTTTCCAGAAAACCTTGCCTCTGACAAAATTTTAAGTAAAGAACTCACATTTCCATTGTCTGGTTTTATTCTGATTATGTTCATTCAGTACCTGCTGCTCCAGAAGTGTTTTCACCAGCAGCTCCAGTGATGGCAGCATTTTCCCCTCCAGTTGTTCCTAATTGAAAAGAACAATGGTTCTCAGTGGACATTGGGGTTGCCAGATATAGCATATCAAAATAGATGACACCCAGTTACACTTGAATTCTAGATAAACAACAATCACATCCCAATTATTGCATGGGGCATACTTATACCAAAAAAATTTCTTATTTATGTGAAATTCAAATTTAAATGGCATCCTGTGTTTTATCTGGCAACTCTACTCTACGTAGATGGTTGTAATGAAAATGCTCAAACTACCCATATTCATTTGTCCTAAAATTATAACTGTTAAATCCATAGTCATTGCTCAATTCACCTAAATTCCTCATGAGAACTTGGAGTCTCAACTCCTGATGGAGCACCACCAAAGTGTCCTGGTGACCTGCACCTTGACTCTGAGCTACCAGTTGGGCTGGAACCATGGAAAGGTGGTCTAGCTGTGATGCCACTGCCAGTTCCAGTGGTAGTTCCAACAAATTCTCCTGTTACACCTGATAAACAGTATTGGGAGAGTATATATATTATTATGACAATCCAGTACTGTAGTACTTTTGAAGGGAAGATTTGGAGAAACCAGAAAAAAGACTTCTTGAAAATGTTAATCATGTTTATACTATTCTACATCCTACATCTTTTGTTGGATGGTATGTTATCAACTAATACTAAGTGCAATCAATGGTATTCTGATGAAAGACTGCCCTTTTTGACAAAAGTCGTGGCCTCAGTGAGATCCTCTACTCACCTAACTTACCTTCAGATTGTGTCACTTCACTGCTTGGTGCTCTAGTTGTTTCACCAGCTGATGATCTGGTAGTCTCTTTCAAAATAAACAATATATATCAAATTACATATATATATATATATATATATATATAAAGATCTTTAGTTAAGTGAACAGAATATGCTGTTCTCTGTTTTCAAAAGACTTGTCACACTTATACATTCCCAGTTCACTCTTTCCAAAAATTGATCATAAGAACCATCTGGGTTGCTTATTAAATATACAGATACACTAGCCCAGTGATTCTCAGCTCCAGCCTATACATTGGAACCAACTGTAAGGCTTTTAAAAATTACTTATGCCTGGGTCTTTCTTCCAGGAGTTCTGATTCAATTACTCTGTAAAAGCCTCTTCAGTATGTATTTTCAAAAATCTTTCTAGTCAATTCTTATTTGTAGCCAAGATTGCAAACCATTACTTTAGCCCCATTTCACATTCACAGCCTCAGAAGTCCAAAGGCAGGAGTCTTAGAATCTGAAACATAACACGCTTTGCTATAAATCACCTCTGAGCTAATGTTAGCGAAACACTGCCATTAATCCCATAAATGCAGGGATAGTGAGGTCACGAATATGTGCATTTACTAGTAACTAATAACTCAGAAGTGCTGGCTACTTCCCTAAGGTCAGTAAGAAGATGCCTCAGACTTCCCATTTCAATACCTGCTTGGCCTCCCAGGGTTGTGCCTGGGGTAGGTGAGTTCCCACTTGTGCTCTTGCTTCCATGCATGGTTGTGAAACCCTCTGATACTCCTGGGGTCCCTGACACAACAGCAGGGAATGAGCATTACTTCCATTGTTGCCGGATTCTACATACCACTCTTCTCTAATGTGACAGAATTGAGGTTTCTCACATAAAAGACAACTTTAAATGATCCCTATGATTTCTGTGACTAGATGGTCTTATAACACATAGAGCTTAATCTTTAGTTCAACCTGCAATATGTTCAGTGCCATTTAACAGGGGTTAAGGAGCACATCCTGATCTGCCTAATTTCCCTGGGCTTATTGCTCCTGTGCTTGGTTTGCTGGGTGTGCCGTCTTCCTCATCTCCTGTTGTTGGTGCAGTAGGACCCCTGTTCCTGCTCATAAAGAATAGCAGTTTGAAAAATAACCTAGACATAAATCAACTCATGTAATCCTATAAAAATCCTCTGAGGCAGGTAATACTACTATTCTCACTTAACAGACATGGTTAAGTGACTTGATCCAGGTCACCCAGGCAATCTAGACCTAAGTTCATACTCTAACACATGCTTCTCAGAAGATCTGTGGTAAAAGATCAATTCTGTAAAATTTTCAGTCTTCCATATTGATGCTTTGGAAAAATGCCATGAAAGGAGAGAAATAAAATTAAAAAAAAATAAATCCATACACAACATAAGCTTTTATTCAACAAATATAAAAATTGCTGTGTCAAATTGCCATGTTTCTAAATACTTGTTTTCTGTTTCTGTTCTTATCACTTCATGGACCAGTTACAAACAGTTCTGAATTGCACTCATTGGCAGAGCAAACTTTGAGAAGCCCTGGACTGACTTGTCATTATCACACAAATAATTCCCATTCAAATTCTAGAAAATATATACTAAATAGTCATCACCCTCAAATTTCAGTCAATTCACTGATCTAGTTGGAATTAAATAGTTTCTTAATTTGTGCTACCCTAGCTTACATCTTTCAACACATTATTTTTTATGCAAACAATATCTTATTCCAAAAAGTTTTTGACAAAGATTTTAAATTGAGAAATTTACTAAGGGAAAATAAATGTAGGAAAAATAAAGTCAGGCCATCGATTAGTTAATAAATGCATAAAGAGAAATTCCATGAAAACACTATAGAAATGGCTTTTAATGGTATATAAAGGAGTTTTGATTTATCCTAAAAGCAATCTGAAAAGTTGAAAGATTTTAAGTAGTGGAGTGGTATGATGACAGTTGAGGTTTTGTAGGTTCATTCTGGTGTGGTATCAACTAAAGTGTAAATTGGGAGGGAAGTGGGAAAGGGTGGGAAAGTTCTCAACATTGACAAGCATCCATTGCCTAAAGGGCTTGTTAATACACTGTTTGCCTGGCTCCACACTAAGAGCTTCTGATTCTAGGCAGGTAGGCCCCAAAATTCTGTGCTTCTAAAAAGTTTGCAGGAGCTGTGGATGCTGTTGGTCTGGGAACTGCACTTTGAGCATCACTGTATCAGAGGAAAGTGAGCGAGGTGGGTGCATGTAAAGACTAGGTGGAAAATGTTTAACATCTGATCAAAAGCAGAGGCAAATGTGATGCACAGAGGAAATTTAAGAGTTATTCAATATTTAAAGTCACTAACTTGCAGCATAAGGGACAGGGTGAACTCAGGCTTGTTTGTTTTTAATCAAAATCATCTACACTTAAAGAAGTCAATAATATTTTATTCATGAAACCAACAGTAGTTGAAATTTAGTCAGTGATGCACAAGGGCAAGCATACTCTCACTGACTTCTCTTGGATGTTTGCTCTTAGGCACAGATCACAGAATTGTGGAGCTATGACAGAGGAGGCTAAGGGTCTGGGTTCTAATCCTGCCTCTGCCAGTTTTGAGAACTTTTATTATTTTCTTCCACCTGGGAAAAAAGACACATATTTCAGCATAATTCAGAAATTTCAGTGTGCCATAGAAATGTCACTAATATTTTGTTAACATATAGATATTAATTTTTGAATTTTTCCCAAAGTCATCCAGATAACATAGTGCTGACACCAGACCCCTGTTGTCTAATGAACTCAGAGTACAGTTGTTCTTGACTTGAAAAGGAGAACTGCTTGTGGAAAGAAGCTATGGACTCATTTCTTTGTCTCACCTGCTCTGAAGCCTATGTCACTTGTGCTTCCATCTTCAGCGCCTGTGGTTGCACTTACTGATCCTCCAGTTGACCCTGATGAAGGTAAAGAAAAAACAGTTTTTTTCTGTTAAAAAAGTGCGTGCTGTCAACTCTCAAGGTAATGGGTGTATATGATTATAACATGATATTCAATAATAAAGTAACTTGTGCAAAAACTACGGAGTCTACATTTTAATTACATATAAAGAACATCCAAATCTGATTATATATAAGTCAGATACATTTATTTTGTAAAATATTGCAGTGAGCAGTATTGCCTGAAACCAGCTGCTTAGGAGTGGCTGGTATATTTGTTCTGAACTTAATTTACCTGATATAAGCCCAGGACTGGTGAAGGTGGGGACCACTGCTCCTGTGGTGCCCACACTTCCAGCTGTGGAGGTGATAGGCACTGGAGTTCTAGTAATACCTGAGAAAAATATAAAGTGAACTTCTCATCTCAAGTTTACTTGGCCTTTAATACCAATGGGTGATTTAACTGTTCAGTCAATTCCTACTATAGAAAACAGAATCATGAATCCAGTGACTTTCTTCAAAGAGTCCTTAAGATTTTTGTTCCGTTATTACTTTCCTACTAAGATTTTGGTTTAGTTCTTGCCATATTTTTTTTTAACAAAGTCATGTTATCTTTTCCCACAAAAGAACTTGGGAAGAGGTAGGTCTGAAATTGTTGATATAGCAATAAAAAGTATGGATAAGCCTCTACTAACAGGAATATATGAGAATCCACATCTACTTGTCTTCATGGTTTAATTACCAAAACTGATAGATAAAGCATTTCTGTTCTCATTAATTTTGACATCCATAACCATTACAATTTCAGTTGATTTTTCCATTACTTGCAGATGAACATACACACTAAAGTACTTGATGTTATGAATTACTGTGTATCAGATTCTTTGTTGCCAAGACATAAATGATAATAGAAAGAGCTGTCTTTACCAAAATATTGATAGCTCTGTGTATTACAAAGTAGTAATCCACCCTAACAATTTTCAAAGTGACTGTGTCCATTTATTTTTACCTCATGATAAAATTAATAATTTATTTTATTATTTTAACCTCATTTATTTTTCACCTCTCAATAAACTTAATAATTAAAATAAAATCTTGCAATTCATTTCCCAGCTACTGCTAAGTTTTTTGTTTACTTCTAAGAACCATTTAAATTTTTATAAAATCTTTTATAACTGATTAATTTGCCTTTTTTCTTCAATGGATTCTATTTTACTTAATATAAATTTGAAAGATAATCTTAAGGAGTATCTATAACATTTACCATAATAAACAACACATTCAGTATTGCAAGGTTTATTTTTTGCAAAATATCTTATTCCTGAAAAAAGTTAAAAATACATAAAATTGGTTTTAATTAAGGAAGCAGTATACTTGTGATTAATTATTAAAAATACTAAACTCCTCTGCTAAAATTTAAGTTTATTTACATAATGAATTATTCTTTAAAAAATTGTAAGTAGTAATAAATTTGACTTTATTGAGTATTTATTATGTATTACACAAAGCTGCACTATCACATTTACTCAAGTCCTGTAATGTAGATATTATATTTTTCATACTTAAAGAATGAGAAAACTAATCTTCAGAGTGTTTGACAGATTAAAACTAGGGTCATACAGCTAGTAAGTAGAAGAGAAGAGATTCTAGTTCTTATTTATCTGCTTCTGCTTCCCACTACACTCAACTGGCTCTCTGTAATATCCTGGTACAATTATCTTCTTTCTATGATTGATGAAATTTTAGAATAAGCACATTATACAAACAAATAAAATTTATATACAACTTATATAAATTCTGATAAAATTTAACTTTTTGAGACAAGAAAGATGCATTTTAAGATATCAAATTGTTATGTAACAGAAACCTACATTTTAATTATATGAATTAGTATCCCATTTAGTCAATGAGCTATTTTTAGTTTTAATAGAAACGTATTAAATAAGTTATAAATTTATTAAACTTATTAAATAAGTTATAAATTTATTAGAAACTTATTAAATAAGTTATTATAAATTTTAACACAAGTCCCAATTTGAAATTGGAATCTGCAATTATATGCTACTACTTCAATAACTGATTTAAATTAAATTTAACTTTTTTTAAAATATCAAAACACAAAAGCCTTAAGACTAGAATCTAGAAAACTATGCCCTGGATTTAATCCTTTCTCTGCTACTTATTACCAAGTGACCTTCAACACATGGCTTAACCTTTTGTGCTTCCATTTCCTCATTTGTAAATTGAGGAAAATAATGGTGCCCACTTCATAGAATTCTATACCAAATGAGATAATATGTGTCAAATAATTATAATAGTGCTCAGTAAATGTTAGCTCTGTGTCAAGATTTGTCAAGCTAAACAGGAAAAAAGCATAATTGAATAATTTTTCTTCTAAAAATAACATACTTATTGCAATGGTTGGCTAAGCATCTCTCAGGGCATTTTAACCCTTTGAAAGCCTTTACTGTATAGAAAATAAAATAGATATATAAGGCATGGAAAAAAACTTAAGCTTTGCATATTGCTTCCTTTAACTTCCTTTAAAGTTTTAAAGTCAAATACATCATAAATCCTCTTCTGAGCACCCAGGCCTTTCTCCTTCTATCTGGCAGGAACGCCTTTGATCCATCCGAGAAGGTCATTTAAATTTATGGAAGAAACTTTAAAATAACTTGTACAAGTTATTGTACAAGTCATTTTCAACTTATAGGTGAGAAACAAAAACAAAAAAATAACTAATGGCCAGTGAAAAGTACTTGATACAGGGAAGTATTTGATCTATTACTTGATCAAAAGTACTTCACCCAGGGAACAAGATAAGGGAAAAAAGATGCCCTTCTGCACAGTCTTTTTTTGAAATAAATCTTACCTATTCAAGAATCATAGGTTTTTTTTTAAATACCACATTGATATCTTAAGACAATGCAGAAAATAAAAATAGAAGAGTTTTGGCTAAATTAAATTAACCCATTAATCATATTGGTTCAATTCAAAAGGACAAATATATTATCCAAAATGAAAGTACATTTAGAACATTGAGACTATAAACCAAATTTCTGGGTAAAATGGGTTCTCATGTCTAAGAAAAAAATCCTTCCATCCATCGTAGACAGTTCATGGAGAGGCAACACATGTTCAAAATGATGTGTCTTCCTAGCTATATTATATCTGGAAACATTACATTTCATTTTTCAGTGTCTATTTAAATATTCTTAGTTGAGGCATACTATATTTAGAAAGAAACAAGAAACTTGCTAGTAATGATGACTAAACTCTTATCTTGGGATCCATTTTTCTCATCACTGATCAAGAGAGCTTCACCACTAGAAAGCTAAAAACCAAAAATCATTATGTAGTTATGAATTCATCACAACTTGTCAAATGCTGTTCAACTTTTAAATCACTGATGTCAGTAAAAGAGATGGGATATGATTTTCAAGCCTTCACTTCGTGCAAGGCAATTTCTCCACAAAAAGGATCCTTACTTCCTTTAAAAAATGTTATAGGTAATCTGATTTGCAAAGCAGAAATAGAGACAGAGAACAAACTTATGGATACCAAGGGGGAAAGGGTAGAGTGGGAGGAATTGAGAGATTGGGATTGACACATATACACAATTGATGCTATGTATAAAATAGACAACTAATGAGAACATACTGTATAGCACAGGGAACTCTACTCAATGCACTGTGGTGACCTAAATGGGAAGGAAATCCAAAAACTAGGGGATATATATATATATATATATATATATATATATATATATATATATAGCTGATTCATTTTGCTATACAGTAGAAACTAACACAGTGTGGTAAAGTAACTATACTCCAATAAAAATTAAAAAGAAAAAAGGAAAAAAGTGTTCTAAAAGCAAAAACTTTAAACTGTTTTATTTTTACTATGGCGTGATGCTTATTGGATGAATTTATAAAACAAGTTTTTTTTAATTATGTTGATGTGCCTTAAAATGAATTGCTTTATTCTTACATGAAAAATGAAGATCAATAGAACATTAAACTTGGCTTTTTTAAGAGCTTCAAAATAATACTATCAATAAACATATTCATCCTTCTGAGAGTCTACTGATTGCCATCCTCACTTTAAGTAGATTCTTATGATACTTCAGTCACCAGCAAATGGACATGTTATCTCTTATGACTGTTAAAATTCAAAAATGTCACATTTAATTCTCAACATTTTATACCCAGTCCAGGAATCTATAGCACATGTTGAAGTATAAAATTTATGGTTGGTGTGGTTCCAGAGGGGGGACCTTCAAGATGGCAGAGGAGTAAGACGTGGATATCACCTTCCTCCCCACAAATACATCAGAAATACATCTACATGTGGAACAACTCCTACAGAACACCTACTGAATGCTGGCAGAAGACCTCAGACTTCCCAAAAGGCAAGAAAATCCCCACATACTGGGGTAGGGCAAAAGAAAAAAAGAAAAAAGCAGAGACAAAAGAATAGGGATGGGACCTGTACCTCAGGGAAGGAGCTGTGAAGAAGGAAAAGTTTCCACACACTAGGAAGTCCCTTCACTGGTGGAAACGGGGGCTGGGCAGGGAGAAAGCTTTGGAGCCATGGAGAAGAGTGCAGCAACAGGGGTGCAGAGGGCAAAGAGGAGAGATTCCCTCACAGAGGATCAGTGCTGACTAGCACTCACCAGACTGAAAGGCTTGCTTGCCCACCCGCCAGGGTGGGTGGGCACTGGGAGCTGAGGCTTGGGCTTCAGAGGTCAGATCCCAGGGAGAGGACTGGGGTTGGCTGCGTGAAGACTGCCTGAGGGGGCTAGTGCACCACAGCTAGCTGGGAGGGAGTCCAGAAAAAAATCTGGACCTGTCTAAGAGCCAAGAGACCATTGTTTTGGGGTGCACAGGAGAGGGGACTCCTTCCCCATCTGCCCACAGAAGGTAGAGCACCGCCTAAATGAACTCCAGAGAAGGGTATGAGCTGTGTCTATCAGCTCGGACCCCAGAGACAGTCAGGAAACACTAAGGCTGCTGCTGTAGCCACCAAGAATCTCGTGTGCAAGCACAGGTCACTATCCACACCACCCACCGCCCCCCTAAGAGCCCATGCAACCTGCTACTGCCAGGGTCCCATGACCCAGGGACAACTTCCTCAGGAGAACACATGGCATCCCTCAGGCTGTTACAACATCACATTAGTCTCTGCCACTGCAGGCTCACCCCACATTCTAGTTATGACTACTCTACCCCTCACTCCCCCTGGCCTGAGTGAGCAAAAGCCCCCTAATCAGCCACTGTTTAACCCCCTCTTGTCTGGGCGGGGAACAGATGCCTGAGGGTGAACTACTTGCAGAGGTGGGGCCAAAACCAAAGCTGAACCCCAGGAGCTGTGTGAAAAAAGAAGAGAAAG